GAAAAGCATCATTGATAAGAATGGTGACTATTTCATTTGATAAATGTTTTGTTTTGATATACAAGTTGTTCAGGTTTTTTCATCTAATAAAAAGTGACATTAATTTCTTGACGACCTATTATTAATTAAATTTTGAAATACAAATGCAACGAAGGTTGAAGGTCTTGTTTAAGAAGATACAAAAGCTGAATATGAAAAATTTACAGTTTTCACACATATTTGTTATTACAAATGCTGATAAAACTTTTAAAACACCAAATTTGAATATAATTTTTTCATTTTATCACAAAATCAATAGAATACCTATCCTGAATCATGATAATATCATATTTTTTAAACAACAAAACCACATTCCAATGAGAATGTGTTCAACATAAAAATTTATGGTCATCTTGGACAAATCAGTTTATGTACAGACTGAATAGCAGAATTGCATATTTTATAACAAGTAACATGAAACAGGTGAGTAAATTCAATTGGATAAAAAAAAACAGATGGCCTGAATACAAAAAAACCTACAACATATTATTGAATAATTGAAAGAAGAAATGACTAATGACTCCATAGTTAATTGCTAAAGGAATTTTTATGTAATGAAATGATGAGACCAAAGCCCACCTGATCACTATCTCCACCAAAGCTACAGCTCTTCATCGTGCAAGAGTTATAGTATCCTGGATGATCAAATTCAGCAACAGGGTAAGAGGAGTGAACATTATAAAGAACAGGAGGGAGACGACGACGCAGGGCAATCAGCTGAGAACCAGAACTATTGAAGCGAACACTCATTGCACCCTGTGCACACAACTTACCACCGTACTGTAGTAGGGCACTGAAAAATAGCACAACTTAATATTTTATAAATATTTCTTGAAATACACACTTGAAAAAGAGTATATAACAATACTTGCATTCTTCTAAATAATCAGTTATAAAAAAATAAATCATAATTATACCACTGTCTTTAGGTATGAATATTTCATTTTAAATTTTCTTGGGATTCCATTTAACAAAATTCAGTAGAGTAGAAATATGAAAATAAAATGGCATACATGTGTTCAAATATACACTTGTAATTTTGCAAACGTGATTAGATAATAATTTTTAACTATACAGTCACTTACTAGTTTGGCTTTAACTATTTATCTTGAATCTTGTACTTCCATGTAAGTTGCAGGTTTTAATAAGTCATCTAATGTAAAATTTTGTATAGTTTTTACTAATAGTTAATTCTGGAATAAAGAAAACTTGACATTTCATTAAGCACCATTTTTTAAGTAAATAATGCTTATAAGCAATCATTAATGCTTAACACTGAAAACGTTTTCATAAACCTCACAGCATGGGCTCGGTCCCTGGAACCGACCTCATAACCATATTGTGCTTGTTGTAACTTTTAAATTAGTGAGCACATGTTAATGAAATTTGGCAGATCATCAGTAAATACCACAATGCTTTCAGGTGCAAAATATTAATTTTTTTATTAAGTCTTAAAGTTTGTAAAGCAATGTTTTTCTCATGCTTTTTTTTCTTTTCACATGTTGCCTAACTATCATGCAAAGTAATTTTTATTTTAAGATTAAAAATACTTTTATGCATCAGAATATTTTCAAATTTCACATGCAAAATCTTTATAACGTCCAGATTGTTATTAAACATTTCTTAAGAAAAAAGCTTTATATTTTATTTGTTATTTTCAGTAACGAATCTCTGTATGGGTTTGGTAGATGACCAATCTTGTAACCACCATAAAAAAAATAGGAAATAAATATAAATTATGCCTCTTTCATTCTACAATGAACACAAATTATAACACAAAAACATAAATGTTTAGATGAAATAGCTTAAATCTCATAACATTATACATTTAAATATATTTATTATTTTCATTATATTGACCTTACAGCTGTGCCTGGCTAACAATACAGAAGTTACAATGACGTGGCTCATGTGCACTAATACCAAATAACATAAAGGTGACCTTTAGTCTTTAGAAAGTGAATTGTCTTGGCTGTGTTTTATTAGGCTTGTATTTTATAAAATAAAGTCACATTTCAATAATAATACATTATATATGTATATAGATTATTGCTATTTTGAAATAAGTTCTTAAACTTATTTTTCTTAAAACATAGAACAGTAAATAATGAAGTAAAGCAAACAATTATCTCTTCTAGTTACAACCCTTGTACTAGGTTACTTCTTGATGTAGGTTGCTAAGCCTTTTAAAATTTCACACGTGGAAGATATGAAAAGAGAAAATTTTTTTAGGTTTTATATATACATTTGAATAACCAAAAAATCATAAATTACTCTATTAATACCATGGAATTCCACTATAATTTACCAAGCTTAGTAACTATGCTGTATTTCAGTCTAATACCAAAATGAAATTTCGAGCAGACTAAAGATACAACCTACTTCATTGAAATCTTGGTTCAAAAGAAATAGATGGCATCCTAAGAATTTAAAATGGCAAAGAATGCCATCTGGGGGACATTCTGAGCTTTTGATTAGTTATTCATGTCATATATAGAAGTAAGTGTATATAAGAGAGCATTTCCAAAAATGGAAAGAGGTGGGTGGGGTGCCACTGTGTTTGATTTATTACGTGAGCAATATCTTAGCAAATCGAAAAGATGTTCATATTTGATATTCTAGCTTGTCGATATCTTTAATTTGAGTTTCTAATTTGTATGAAACTATAGACTTAATATTTTGACTTCATAAACATCTAATCTGAACCAGTACTGTATTCAACATACCATGTGACACACAAAAATCGATGTTTACTTTTAAATTAACAAATTGAGTAGCATATAGTTCTAAAACTTGAATTATAATCTACAGTTTGATAGCAAACTTACTGACATAAATTCATGAGATAGTAGTTCAATAAAATTTTTAATGCAAGTCAACATACGAGATGACATGGCCTTTCACCTGTGACCTGTCTGGAAAGGGTTAAAAATTCATAAAATATTAAGAAAATGATGAATAAACAAGGAGAAATGGGTAGCAACTGCCTAGCTCAGAGTGAAACTTGTAGAGAAAATCTTGGAGTATTAATCTACAAAGTAGCTATGGTATAAAAGATGACATTTCAAAAGTATTCCATCTTTCATCCTCCAGTCAACCTACTCTGATTTTTGGAGAAGTTTATATGGTATTGGGGAGAACTGAAGTTGGCATGACATGATTGGCTGGAAGTTCCCGTAAAGTGAGTGGAGGAACAAGTGATGATTTGATCAATGGTACCCAAAAACTGCTCATTTCCAAAACTGAATCTCTGTTTTATATTTTTCTTGTCTTCCAGAACTTATCTGAATCAAGGTGCCTGTAACTGTCCAACCTATTCCTGTCCCATAAACATGGCATTTTCTGCTAGGGCAGGTTTTGTGTTTTCATTAGTTTTATGTGGTCTTTATGTTCTTTAATCCTTGCCTCAAAATATTTTCCAGTTTCTTCAATATAAGTATGTTAAGAGGAGGCAAGTAGTTATCTCATAAATGATATTTTTGTGTATTTTGTCAGTTGTTCTTTGTTTAGTTTTCAAAAAGATAGATCAAAGTGTTTTATAAGATTTCCAGCACAAATCTGATTTTCTCACTTAGGGTTTACACATACAGGAGATAAAGTGTTGGTCTTGATTTTCATGTTTGTTCTATCAGTTAGTATTCAAGCTATTGGTGATGAAATGAAAAGCATCCATTCTGTTTGAAAACACTGTATGATGTGTCAGTGTTTGGTTTTTATAGATTTTTCATCACAGATGTTTTCAGCTCTGTTGGTAAAGCACTTAATAATACTGTACTTAACATAAGTTAGATGGTAAGACTGGAGATTTATCAGTCAATATAAGTAGGTTTTCTATATATGGTTGCAGTGAGTTTGTCATTTGTTTGCTAATGAAAATGTTAAGGAATGACAGGCTGTTTTTGTTCTACATTTCCATGGTGAAGTGGATTCTGTTATATATAGAATTAAGGTGTTATAAGAAGGCTTTTAGTTTTCATTATTATGAGACCAGGTATCAAATGTGTTGTCAACATAATATCTGCAAAAATTGGGTTTCTTGTCTGTAGAGAGAGTGGAAATTCCTTGGCACAACCAACTGTTTGTTCAAATATATTATTGTTGTATTGAAAGTATGTAGATTGTAGAAAAACATTGGTTACTTTCACAATTAGCTTCTACCTTAATATCAGTTTCAAATGTAAAAGAATTATCATTCAACAGCCATTGTTTGGTGATTCAGAGGGTTTCATAGATAGAAGGGGCCACTGTGTTTGATTCACTACATGTAGTGATATCTCAGAAAAGATAAAAGATTCTTATCTTATATTCTAGCATGTCAATATCAGTAATTTTTTGTAAGAAACTATAGACTTTATATCTGGAGATCATAAACATCTAATCTGAACCAATGCTGCAATCAACACACCATGTGACACACAAAAATCCATATTTAGGATTTTTTTAATATTTACTTTAAGAAATTAAATAATTTATAATACTGAAACTTGAATTATAATCTACAATTTGATACCAAATTTATTGATATACATTCATAAAATAGTAATTCAATAATTTTTTTAATGTAAGTCTACAAACATGATAATATGACCTGTGACCATAGAAAGACCCATCAGACTCATCTCAGTAAGGGTAATGTTCTATTAATGGGTCTCCTTTTTCTGTGGGATCATTGTTGAGCTTTTTGTAACTGCATCTGCATAGTAACCGTATGGTCTTGTTATCATAATCATCTGTGTATAAGATGATTGTATTGCTTTCTTTGTCTACAGATAAAATTTTAATAGAACTTGCCCCTTCTAGATGACTCAAAGTGACAAATTATTGTTTTGTAGTATTGGAGTTTGGTTTTATGGCATTCCTTTGAATAGCACAAGCTTATTATCTACATTGTTCTGCCACAAAGGCTTGATAAATAAACACACAACAAAGAGACTATTAAGACACTGCCCTCTACAGTTCCTACATGTAGATTAATCCTCCAAAATATTCTCTACAAGTGTCACCCTGAACAAGGCAGTTGTTGCTCATTCAACCTTTGTTTAAAAATCTACATTCATGTTTGTGATTTAAGATCAGAGATAATTTTCTTGAAACATGTAGCCAGAGATTGAGGATATAATCCCAAAATCATTGACAGATTGCACAAAAAACATGACAATAAATTAAAAATGTCATCACCTACAAAGTTAAAGAGAAAGGGTTAAGTTGATAACATGAGGGTTTGTTTGCCATATGTTCAAGGTTTGTCAACAAGAATAGGCAACATAATTAAAAAATATATAGAATATGGTGTTGTGAACTAAATTTTCTCATAGGTATAAATGATAAAGTAGAAGAAATTGATAAGTGTGGGATTTATGAAATTCCTTGTGTCTGTGGTCGAGTTTATATTGACCAAACATGCAAAAATTTTAAATTTAGGATCAAGAAACATAAAAATGTAGTAGAAAAATATAAAGTAAATGAGTCACCCTCAGCAGTACATGTGGCAAGCACATTTCATGTTATAGAATGGAGTAATGTTAAACTGATAAATCAGGTAGAGTTGAAATTTGAACTAAATATCAAGAGGAACAACAGAAATTAAAAAACCAAAGATATTGTGCTGAACAAAGAAATTGGTCCAGCTTTAGAAGTAATACAATACTGGACATATGTATTATAAACTCTGAGTGTTTTAAATCTAGAAAGTGCTTAATGAATACAAATCATTATGCAGTTATATCAATCTTAGTTTCACTCCTGAAGTTGGAGGGTAAAAACACCAAAATATGTATTTTTTTAGGGCTGGTTCCAGTTTTTAATAAATTATTCATGTAATTATTTTAACATTGTACTCCTTTTAATTGTATGTATATACTGCACAAGTGCCATTTTAAATCATCTAATATTGAGTTTCATGGAAACTTGACTCAAACAAAAAAGACTACATCATAAATCAAGGATATCATATAAAAATGCTGAATATCAAAGAAAAAGTTTGTTTGTTTGTTTTAAGTTATGCATAAAGCTACACAATGGGTTATCTGTGTTCTGCCCACCACGGGTATCGAAACCCGGTTTCTAGCGTTGTAAATCCGCAGACATACTGCTGTGCCACTGGGGGGGCCAAAGAAAAAGTGATCCAGAAAAATAACTATACCGTGTATCTCTGTAAAAGGTTATTAAACTAGAAAATGGTGAATATCATAATATAAGAAAATGGGTATCAAAGAAAATGAGTCAGATAAAAGAATGTACTGTACTTTACAAAAATAAAAAAAACAGCACATTATAGAAATAAAGTAACTGAAGTAAGAATGAAAATAAAAAACTAGTAGATTAAATTTCATAAAAGATTCTGAATTCATGTAAAAGACTAAAACAGACTTACACTCGAGGTTTTCTAATATCCCATAAACCAATTCCTTCTTTAGAGTTAGCAGTAGCCAATAATCTTGGTTCCACTGGATTATACATCACAGCATGGAAAGCTGACATGTAACCAGCAACCATGAAAGGATCTAACAAAGACAAGACAATCGTACAGAAATAAACAAATTAATCATATGCAATACCCTCCTTAACAAAGAAACATCATGTGTATAATTCAGCTAAAAACAACTAATGTTCACTTCATAAAATAATGACCTTCACAAAAACAGAATATCAAAACATACATATTGTCTTACTAAATACGAAATGGGTGACAACTCATTTCCAAAAGTTGTTTTTCACTTCCTTGCTAATCTAATCTTACTGTCAGAAAATATTAACTTTTTTGTGTAAACCATGTTTAGGCTGAAAACGTTTGTAAGAAAATAAATAATGGCCCAGAGTCCAGCATTTCAATTTTAATAAACCATTAACACATATTGCCAAAATTCGGATTTTTTTCATTTAAAATTTATTCAGATACTCAGTTTAATAGATCTCAATGTGAAAACTCTCCATATAGATTTTCATACTTGTGATACGTATTGAATCTCATTACTTATCAAAAACATTCAAATGTATATTTTTATCAAAATCTGCATCTTAAGTCATTACTTTACTCATATCTTTTGAAATGGAATAAATCATTCATGGGCATTACTCTAACATAAAAATAAACCTAGATACCATTAATTACTTTTCATTTCAGTCACTCTCTGCTAACCATAACTACCTGAAGAGCTAGATTCTCTTGAATCCCATATGAGAATACGGCCATCATTACATGCAGTTGCAAAAACACAATCATTTGTCGGTTCTACCGAGATCCCATAAACAGCATCTTCGTGGGAAAAAATATCTAGAGCTGAACCCCTACCAAAAGCAATATAAAAAAAAATCAGTAACCAAAAATTCACATTTGATAAACAACTTTAAAATTACAAAGCATGTGGAATCAAATCAGTAGATAACTATTGGTGGTGCATGTATTCTTTGTTTCCACAACATATATATATTTATCAAGATTGTTATTAAAAAGGTGAATTACATCTCAGTATAAGTTGCCTAGATAAGATAGTTAAATATTAACTTTACTGAGAAATTAGTATTTATACACATTATCATCATTTACAACAAAGTAATTATGCACTTACTGTATTTACTTCTGACAACTGGTTTTTCAGAAGTATCTAAAAAACGACCTCAAACACTTAAGAAAAAAGCCAATCTACAGGAGGCATGAAGTCATCACGAAGATAGTAGAAACAATGAATTGTAAAAAATATACATTTTTTTATGCATACAATAAACTGTATAGAAATGAAAAAATTTTATGCATTTTTACCTCAATAAATTGTATTTGTTCCTTTTGGTACATTTTTGTCAACATACCATGATACCTTCTTTATCAACATCTTGTTATATCTACTAAATAAATGTCGTTTGTTCCTTTTGGTACATTTTGTCAACATACCATGATACCTTCTTTATCAACATCTTGTTATATCTACTAAATAAATGTCGTTTGTTCCTTTTGGTACATTTTTGTCAACATACCATGATACCTTCTTTATCAACATCTTGTATATCTCTACTTAATAAATTGTATTTAGTCCTTTTGGTACATTTTTTCAACATACCATGATACTTTCTTTACCAAAATCTTGTTACAAGAGTTGTTGCAAAATAAATCACACTTTTTTTCCCTGAGAGCAACACAAAGTAAAATAAGATTTTAATTCAATCAGAAAAAGTAATTCCAAGTATCAATATTGCTTGATTGGGCCACCATTGTTCTCACGCACGTGTTTTAATCAATGTGCAAAAGATTTCAGCAATGCAACAAACTTGTCTGTTTTTGAGGCTGTCTCTGTGAGTACATCAGTGAGAACACGAATTGAGGTTTCACGTTTGTGTCTCTCACATTCAGGCAAAGTTTCCATCATTTCTTCTGTGCATTGGTGAAAGAAAGCTCCAATATTTCAGTGGGATTTACATCTAGAGAGTTCCCAATCCACCACTTTTTCATGGACCACTCTTTCAAATTAAACAATTCCGAAACTTCTGAGGCATTAATCAGATTTTTTAAATCTGGCATTGCAATGTGTCGAATGGAAAAACTTGAATTCTCAGAGCATGTCTGCAACTAGTTTCTGATACATCCCAAAGACAGCACATGTGACACGAACCTGAGTTCTAGTGAGCACCATGATTCAAAAAATTAAATTTGAAGAGTCAAACACCCATGAGTATGTTGAAATGATGTTTTCTCATGAGTGATGATATTCACGGTCCTACCAAGTTCGTTATTACTTCGGGGAAAAAAAAGTCTGATTTATTTTGCAACACCCCTTATCTCTACTTAATTTTATTTAGTCCTTTTGGTACATTTTCTGTCAACATACCATGATACCTTCTTTACCAACATCTTGTTATATCTCTTTTTAAAACCATTTCTTTGGTTTAGACTAATTGGTAAACTACACAATGCTAAAAAAAAAAGATAATCTTATACTGGGAATTAGTGAAATACATGTCAACAAACCACTAAGGCATCAATATTCTTTTAAGAGCATTATCAACAAACCACTAAAGCAACAATATTCTTTTAAGAGTACTGAGTGCATATTCTTTAAATTCCTATAGTATAGAAGGGCATTTGAAAAAGAAAAAATCTTTAAAACTTAGTGTACCTTATATGAACTTGGTACAATGACCACAATTCCAGAGCATTATAACAAATTGTTGTGTGCTTTTTATTAAATATTGTAAAATGTACAAGTTCTGTCAAGCTATGTATTTAATCACTAAGATTGATCCTAAAAGTAGAACTAAAAGTTTGATGTAAAATAGTTCTAAAGGATAAACTGTAATGGTTATTTTGAACAGAACATACTGAAAGCTATCACAGGCAAAAGTATTTAGTTTTCTGCATTGATGAGCTGGTAATAAATAGATGTGTTAGAAAAGTGTACAATATGCAATAGTCACAATACAGTAACTGTACATTATGTCTCAATGAAAAACCAGCAAAATATTTACTTACGTATGTGGATCATGCACAACAACTTGCTCATCATTTCCTGAAAAAGAGAATAAACCAATTCAACACAGCTATAGATATTTATTTAGTGGAAAAAAAAATTACTAATATTTGAAATTTAAAACATACTTTGTTTATGAAATACATGTATAAAAGATAATGCACAAGCCAAAATGAAATTAAAAAAGACAAGTACATTTCTTGTGTGATATATTCTATATTCTATAATCGAATACCAAGGCAGCTTGTTCTTGGAACCTACCAAGGACTTGTATATATTATACATCACTAAATTTATGTCATTTACATTTTACATGGTCCTCACACTTTTGGTTGAACTAAAATACTGAACATTTCCAGAACCTCTAAGCAATTTCCAAAATTTTCATGCAAAATTATTGAAAATTTTGATGTATCGTTCATTCAGATCTTAAATATTAGTGCCTATATGTGATTGCGCAAAATATACACCTCAATACTTTCCATTAGTCATCTGCTACAGAGGGCAGTTGATTCGTTTTTTTTTGTTAAGAGCATTCATGACCTCACAAATAGAAATAGAGGACATTGAATTATTTGAGTTATGGCTCATTTTGAAATACGTTTGAAAGCAGTGTTATTCACAATTCATCTACAAAGTGTTACGAACAAGTATTAATGTGTTTTAAGAGTTATGATAATAGCCGAATGATTATACAATGTCTCACAATACCACTGGTAGAAATCAAGTAGCAATGGTCACAATTCACTCTTGCAATCATTACAAGTGAACTGTAATGATTCAAAATACATTTTAAATTTTCAAGTATCAACGTTAACATTTTATTTTTAAAATACTGACAATTTTTAGGGTTTGGAAATCAAAAACAAAGAATTTTTGTAAGATACTGCGAAACAAGAGTTTTTTTTCTTTCTTTTCTTAAACATAAGTTGGAGTACCTGTTTATTGGATGGGTGAAATAAAGTCTTTTGTAACAAAGAATTAGAAATTGTACTTCTACTTTTTTTTCTTAACATAATAAACATTAAAAGTGCAATAAAAATATATAAGGTAATAATGGTGAAAAAACAAACATTGTCTTCAGTAATTCTATCAATATTAAATTAAATGAGGGGTCCAACTCCCCTCATGACCTTCCTCATGTTATCCTATATGACTATTATCACTGTGTGAAGTTTGGTACTGATTTATCAAGAAATGTGGAAACATATAAGGAACAGATACAAACTGATAGATAAACAACTGTGCATTTTTTTCCTGGACACATACTTTGCCTTATTTAGTAGAAAACAAACACAAAGCAGGTACGTTTTCTTCCAATAGTGGTAGTAACGTTAATAATAGAATACAAAATTGCAATTTAAGACACTCAAAAAGCGAGTGACACTAAACTAAAGGTTTGTAGAACTTTTAATGGTTAAAATAAGCAATGTTTATTTCATAATATAACTTTCAATGAAAAATGGATAATTTACTACAGTTTTCCTAACAAGTTCAAGTAATGGTTACAATAACCATTTGGGAAGGTTAACGGTTAAAACCTACAGGAGATTCAGCACTTATTGGCCAATTTGCTGACAGGTTCTCTATATTAATAATTTATAAGCTCGCAACAAATTTATTAACTCTTTCAGTCATTCTTTGTCTAATGAGTATCTTTACCTCCAATCTTCTTCCAGGTGGTTAGGGTGTTCGAGTCGCAATCTGCGGGTCACAGGTTCAAATCCTAGTCCCACCAAACATACTCACCATTTTAGCCATGTGGGTGTTATAATTTGAGGCCAATCCCACTATTTGTTGGTAAAAGATGAGCACAAAGAGTTGGCAGTGTATGGTAATGACTAGCTGTCTCCTCTTTAGTCTTTCACTCATAAATTAAGGATAGCTTGCACAGATACCCCTCATGTAGCTTTGTGCAAAATTCAAAACAAACAAATCATTTTTTCTAAATTTCTTTCAGATTTTCATCTTAGGCACTGGTCGGGTAGTTCATTAGCCACTCGCCAATGAAAGTAGTTTTTCTCAAGGTACCCCTCTTTCCTCCCCCCTGTTCCAACAGCAATCTCTCAGGCACAGAAATCATGGATCCCCACCACCCTGAAAAGGTTCCATTTATTTTGTTGATCTGGCAGCCAAGCCTGGATGTTTGCAAATCAAGCCTCCCTACTAAACTTGCCTCCACTTCGCAGACTTTACCTCAACCACTTCAGAACAATAGATTAAAACACATCCTTACACCTAGATATTAAAATTTTTCCTTTTAGAATCTTAAATCATCTTAATTACCAAACTCTCCAAATTTTAAAATTTCTACGAGTAAGGCAAAAAAAAATGCAAATATTCCTGAATATCTCAGTTGTGATGGGTTTGCCTTTGACAAACTTTTCTTCTAAGTAAAATACCTATCATGGATAAAATATAAAAGAATAGTAATAATAACTTGTGAGCCGTTAGCTGTAGGTGAGCAGTACATTTAGTTATGGATTAAAGAAAACTATCAATTATCAGCTAAAAAGCATAAGCCAAAACTATCCAACAGACTAGAATCAGTTTGTTGGTGATGCTCAATACATTTCTTTTTATTAATTTTTATTTGCTCTTGCAAAAATAGAAAATCTACAAAGTCATTTTATTTTATATATATTACAATAAGATGCAGTCAAAAGCAAGAGCAAATATTCAATTAAAACAAGTAATGACTGCAAAAAAAATCATATGACACGGATTATTTATCAGACATGCACTAACTAATCCACTGGAATCAGAGCTCATAAAAAATATTAAATATGACCAGATTTTGAAAAACAATACCAAATTGTATTCTTTGTTTCAATTTAACTGATAAAAACTAAAATGTATTTCTTCCCAAAATATAAATATATTATACGTGCTTACTAACAAATTCAATCATATCTAATAACGAATCGACAAGTGAAATACCAATAGACATTTAAAATACCACTTCTTATTCATCCATTATTTGTTTCCGAATTGTTCACAGCTGCCATGATTTCTTATTCTATTCTATTCTTATTTTTTTTTATTTATTTTATTTTTTTTTATTTATTTATTTATTTATTATATTTCCGTACTTTATTCAGTTTACTGTAAAGCCATAAAATAGAAAAGGCTTGGGCTTCTAATTAAAGACAGAAGATATCTTTCAAGAACTACAGTACTGCAATAATGCATGTACGTGTGTGTGTGTGAGCTAATAGAAAAGAAAATGGATCAAATATTGAAATCTATGGCCAAAAATACATAATTAGTGTTAAATTCTACAATACATACTATACTGAATAAATACAAAATCATAATTTATTGACATTTTTCTACAATTATCAGTAAAAAGTCACTATTTGTATTAAATACTGGTCTATTTTTTCTTTCCACAAAAATGATGAGGTATTTTTCTTAATTTCGTTCAATCATTTCTTTCACATATGTAAGTGCAAAGTAAATTAACAATTATGTGCAACATATCTAAAGCAAATACTTGCAGCTATTAAGGTAGTTAATAGACATACATGAGACATACATTATATTTGGATTTAAACGCTTAATTAATAATCTTCAACACTCAAAACTTTTGAATTCAGTTAAATATACATATATATTCATGAAATCATTGCCTCTTACAGATACACTTACCTGCAGAGAAAAGTTTGGTGTGTTTAATATCAAAGCACAAGCAGAATATGTTACTGTTGTGTTCTGCTTTCATAGTTTCAGGTTTGTTCTTTCCTGTCATTGTTCTTTCCACATTCCATAGCAAAACCCTTCTGTCATCTCCACCTACGGAAACAGGGCAACATTTCAAACCAACAATATTACCTGTATAAAAATGTATCTATGATTGTTCCTTAACTTCCTGTTGATTACACATCATGAGCTAAGTGTGAGAGACAACCTTGAGAATAAAAATACAGTAAATCAAAAAAACATTTTCTGAAACAATGATTTAAACAAAATCAATTTAAGAAAAATACATACCAACCCCCCCCCCAAAAAAAAGAAAGTTAAAAATTTGACTGTTGATGGCACCTTGTCCAAGATATATATTCTGCACCCCTCCTCAAAAAAAAAATCTATCTGATGATTTACAAGATCATATAATGTTACCTATCTTATTAACTACACATTGTACATTAAGATAATACATACGTATCATTACATATTAGTTAATTGGTGCTCCGTGCAGGCACATCACTCACAATACCATTGGTATGACCCTGTGTATTAGAGAATAACTTAACTCTTTGAACCAGGGCTCAATCCCTGGGACCGACCTCGTAACCATTTTGTGCTTGTTATAGTTTTCATGCTATAACTTTTAAATTAGTAAGCGATTGTTAACAAAATTTGGCAGTTTATCAGTAAACATTACAATGCTTTCATACACAAAATATATCATTTTTTGTATAAAGTCTCAAGGTTTGTAAAGCAATATTTCTCTCATGCCTTTTTTTTTCTTTTCACATCTTGCCTATCTATCATGCAAAGTAATTTTCATTTTAAGATTAAAAATACTTTATTCATCAGAAATTTTTTAAATTTCACATGCAAAATCTTTATAATGTCCAGATAGTTATCAAATATTTCTTAATAAGAAACTTTATATTTTATGTGTTATTTTCAGTAATTAATCTTTGTACATTTTCGGTAAATTTCACCACCATAAAAAAACTAGGATATAAACATAAATTATGCCTCTTTCATTCTAGAATGAACACGAATTTAACACAAAAACATAAATGTTTAGATGAAATAGCTTAAATCTTATAACATTATATATATATTTATTATTTTTATAATATTGACCTTTCATCTGTGCCTGGCTAATGATACAGAAGTT